TTGACGCTCTCATGGTAGAGCAGACAACGAGCCATCTCGACGAGGCTTGCCTCCAAAGTCCTTCTTCTTCGAAGTGAAAGCCTTCTCTTGAGCTGATGACGATTCATCCGAAGCTTGAACACCAGAGAGAGCTTGAATCGCGTAGGCCAGTGACACGTTAGGCGTGTTCTCGAGGACAGTACATATCATCCTGTACTCGTCCGTCAGACTGCCAACGAACAACACGAGCTGGCGAGTTTCGTCCAGAGTCTCACCGATCGTTTCCATCTCTCCTTGAACTGATCGACGTGGGAAGCGAATTTGGTCACGGGTTCCATCTTGAAGTTGTTCAACTTCTTGGTGACGAGAAGCCGGTTCTTGAGCGTCTTCTTGTTGAAGTGCTCCTCGAGCATCGTCCACGCCTCAGCGGCAGTCAGTGCTCCACGGACGTAAACTTGGTACGTTAGACTTACGTCTCCAGCGATAACACCAAGTGCCTTCAGATCGTAGGTCTTCCATTCCGCCGTGGAGCGATTACTCACTTGGTCAAACTCGGGCTCTGCGGGAGCAGACCCTTCCGAGCGAGCTTCATCCGCATGTTGAATTCCCAGTGGAAGTAGTTGTCTTCCACGAGCTTGTCGTTGTTGTCGGCGTAGCTTGGGCTCATAACCAATTGAGAGTATGCGAACGAGGCTTGTAGTAGTCAAGTGTTAGGAATGAAAGTAATCCGAAAGTGGGTTTTATTGAGTTAGTTGTTCTTGTCTTGCTTTGCTATCCCCTTCCTACTTTCCTCCGCGCTCTTCCTAATCACATGTAAAAATCGTACCAGGCGTTGCCGACGAAATTCACTTGATTTTTGTATGTGGACTGGATATGCACAAATCCACCCTGGCGTTAACACTGTAACGGGGTTACACAAAACGCTAACCGTAAGGTTAACTGGTTAGCGTTTAAGGTTTCCTGTCGTGATGTGTGGACACACCAAGACTGCATATAGAAAGACCCTATTGGTAGAGTGTGCCACACCTCTACCAATCAGCGATGCGGATCACTGTTAGCCACTCGCTGACAGTCCCTTAGATAGTATAGAAAGGAAACATCACTTTAGGAAGGAAAGACTCTGCGGGGGCTCAAACGCGAGTTTGAGCCCCCGCAAAACGAGTTCCGGTCGAGAGCAGAGTTTCTCGACCTGCAACATGGTAAGCATAACGTACATCCTTACGCCCAACGGGCTCGGTATTTGATCTCGAACGTCGTGACCGACCCGATGGACGAGGCGACCAAGGTTGTCACGTTCATGAAAGGATTGAGAGATGGGCCCGTAAAGACCTATCTCTTCCGAGAGTACCCGAGCACTCTCGAGGCTGCAATAACTCTCGCAATGCAAGAGCCTGAAGCAGACTAAACTGCACGCGAACGTGCCACGCCCGCCTCGACCGGCTCCTAAAGCGGAAGGTCCAGAACCAATGGATCTTTCGTATGCATCTGCTGTCGGACAGCAGAAGAAGAAGGGAAGCAATGTGCGATGCTTCCGATGCGGAATCATGGGTCACTACGCGCGTGAGTGTACGGCACCAGTACACTCGAGCCAAGGTCAACGTGGCGATACCGGGTATCGTCACGGCCAAACAAAAAAAGGCAAGGACCAGTAGGCGCGGGGCGACCTACTGGTAATGCAGTCACGAGTGTCTACAACGGACACGCGGTGCTGAAGTCTGCAGCCCCAGTGAGAGGGAATCTCACTGCAAAGTACAAGATGACATGCCTAACCTTGTCATCTTGAAGGTGAAGTCGATGACGAAGAGAGCGGACTCTCTTCGGTTGTTGGTGGACTCGGGCGCGTCGAACAACTTTTTTCGACAGCAGAGTCTGCCGTTGTTAGACTTCGAGGAAAAGCATGTGCCTCGAAGTTAGCTGGAAGTACGATTGGCAACGGGTGCCATCATCGAGACTGCGAAGCGCGTGATTCGCGCACGCTTCTCGTACAAACACCGGGTGTTTGTAGAGGAACTTCTCGTCCTGGACTTGGACGACAAGTTCGACATGGTGTTGGGCATGCCGTGGCTTGCACGGCATGA